TGAAGATCAAAATTTTAATAAGCAGAGGTGAAGAAACAGGTATCAAGAATGGCCAGCCTGCTGTGTCCAGAGCACTGGAAGCCCCAGTTGCCTGTTCTGAGCAGACACATTAGCCCTGTGACTCTGGGCCAAGCAGTTCCCCCATCCCTGACACTGCTTCCTCATTTAAAAAATAGAGTATATATTATATAACAAAGAATAATGTCTTGTCTTGCTTGTTGTTGGGAGAGGAAAATAAAAAGATTAAAGTTCTATGTTAACTCTGATGTTTCATTTAAATGTAAAGCCCAGGGCGTCCTTGGTGGTCCTGTGGTTAAGAATCTGCCTACCAATGCAGGAGACATGAGTTTGATCCTTGATCCAGAAAGATCCCACGTGCGGTATAGCAGCTAAGCCAGTGAACTGCAACTATTGAAGCCTGTACACCTAGAATCCCTCTTCTGCAACAAGAAGTCACCACAATGAGAAGCCTGCACAACGCAGCAGAGGGAAGGCCCCCCACCCCCCTCCAACTAGAGAAAACCCTCACACAGCAACAAAGACCCAGTGCAGCTATAGATGAATAAATACTTCTAAAAGTGTTAAAGAGGTCATTAAAAAACTTTTTAAAAATAAATGCAAAGTCAACAAAACAATCACAGATAGCATGGGGACCTACAAATCTCAACTTCATGCAATGCTCCCATCTCTGTTATCAGGCAGGAAGATGAATACAGGAAGCAGAAATTTTAAAACTGAAGGAGAAACCAGTTCAAACTTTAGGTGAATGTGTAAGGAAGAAAAACAAAAATTCCTCAATGTTACAAAGTCAGGTTCAGGGTGGAAGGGGACTGGGGGGGACATCAATGTTCCAGGAGTATGAAAGGGAAGTTATTCACATTCCAGTCCTATAATTTATGAAAAACACTATACAGGCTATTTTAAGAAAGTTCAGATGCAGTCAATACAAAGAAAATTCACTGCTCCCTTCCACGTTTTCAAGAGACAAACTTGAGTAGAGGCAGGAGTCTTAGGGTGGTTCAGTGGAGGGGACCAAGGCAGCTGATCCCCTGACATCCAGCAAGAACACTTGCCTTCAGAAGACATGGAGACACCACTGAACTTTCTAAACCCTGGGCTTAGGTCCTGGGAAAAGGGGTCCTTGAGGCAATCCATGCATTTGCGACTGGGTGTTGCTGCTCTATAAACCCTCTCAAATAAGAATCATCCAGAGGAAGGTGGGAAGATTTGGTAGCAAGTCAGAATCAAGAGACAGTCACCACATATTATAAGCTCCTACATAACCAGGAAATGATTGTATGGCATATCTTGTAAATCATAAAGCAGGGAGTTGAAAACTATATGCATAAAAGGCTTATATTAAAACGTGATGAGTGCTTTTTAATTACTTTTGACCTAGAAGTTTAAAGATACCTTGAATGAAGTGTTAATTTTTCAAGAATACATTGATTTTAGGATGGATTGGATTATGCTTTCTGAATAAAAATGGTAATTCCCTTGCATGGTGTACCTATCACATATTCCAGGTGATTTCTGGTCAAATCAGCCAGGTTTTAACTGGTGGAAAAGGGATTCAGAGAAACAGCAGAAAATAGAAATGCTTGTTCGAAGCAACCTATCGATTTTGAGGTAATACATCCTATGCATTTTAAACTTCTAAAGAGAATGGTTCCAAACGTTGGCAGTGACAAATTCAAATACATCTAATACATTTGCCTATCTCCATTTTTGAGTTTCCAGAATTACTCTTGGTAAATGACATAGTCATCTTTATTTATAAGATTATAATTAAATACATTTATAAGATTTATATAATCTTAAGAGATGCTGAATAGTGACTCTGTGACCAGTTAATTCCAAAGTGAAACAATTTCCTGTATTCATAATTATCTTTTTAAGATTAGAGTGATGGTTCTTCTTTTTTTTTCTTAACTGAAATTTTAGATTCCTTTTTTGAAATAAAATAGGCTCTTCATTATTTACAAGCTTATTTTTTTCTGAGTTGCAAAAATTCTCTCCTCCTTTTTTTCTTCTTTTGGCCCTATATTACCCATGGGAGGCCCCTGTTCAGTCCTGGCTGCCATGATGAGACAGACAGAAGCATGAAGACACTTATGCATCTGTAGTGGAAACCTGAGCTGCAGACAATAACTGCTCCTGGTGTCAGGAGCCAGTCCTTGGACACGCACACAAGAATCTGACCTGCCCACAACCTTCTGTGACCTACGGAGACAAGAAGCAGAGAGAAAAGAAATTCTTCCCCAAGCCTAAGAGCTTCTAACTGCCTACAGCTCCTAAAAACACCACCCCCAAAGGTAATAACAAAAAGTTAATAACAATAAGTGCATACTGATTCCCTTAAAATATCTATGATATTAAGAGACGTAAGATTTCGGCTAATCGCCCATTCTCATTATTAGATACCTCCCCCTCAACCACACCTGATAAAAATTTTTTAAGTACTTTTTGAATTTTTGATTTTTTGGTCTTGCCTCACTACATGTGGGATCTTAGTTCACTAAACAGGGATCGAACCCAAGACTCCTGCAATAGAGGCAGAGTCTTAATCACTGAACCACCAGGGAAGTCCCATACCACATGGTGTGTACTAAGAGGAAGGAGAGAGGAAAGATTAAATAAAATTGTGCAGCATCAAAGTGGGTTGGATAGGGCACAAATATTGTTTTTTAATATAGGCTTTTTTTTAGTGGTATTGATAATGTTCCAACTAATGTGAGGCCTGTTTCTCCCTCACAGCTTTTCACGATTGTACTAAATAGCCACGATTTTAGGGAAAACAGGCTGGCTAGGCCCATCACCTCCTCTTCCTTCCCCTCCTGCTCTGTGGAACTTCATCCTACAGCCCAGGTTGGTCTGATTGGAAAAAATGAGGACTGCTCTTTGGTCAAGACTGATCATCCTCCAAAGGGCTCCACCGTAACCTGTGATTGATTAATAACAAGCTACTGCCCCCGAGGGGAGCTTTAACCAGCAGCTTTTCTGTCATCACCCTACCATTCTTGGAGTCTACATCTGCAGGGAGGTGACATCTCCCTAGAAGGGAGAGCCTTTCTCCAGTATCAATTTCCAGAGAAGAGGTGATCTTCAGATATAAATTTTCTCTTCTCCCGGGGGCCTGGTTCTCTGAAAGCAGGTCATCATGAGGATGCAGAAAAGGAGACTGGCAGCTGACACTCTCCTCTGCTCCCTGCTACACTTCACGGTGCCCAGGGTTACAGGGTTAAAGATGGACCTGCTGCTCGGAGGCAAGCAGGGAGCCAGAAAGGAAGTCATCTTTGTTATGCCAACAGATGCAGATGAGCAGGCCTTGTCTTCCACCCTTGACGATCCAGAGTCAGTGACTTCCCATATTTATCTCTCCTTTTGTTACCTACAACCCAGGGGTTCTTAAACTTAGCTGAACATCAACATAACCTGGAAGGCTTGTGAGAACCCAGACTGCTGGGCCCCAGTTCAGGGAATGGTGATGCTGCTGGCCTAGGGACCACACTTTGGAAACCACTTCCTTACCTGTCTGTCCTCCTAAATCTGGGACCAGGATCACCTGATCAGAACTGCCTGGAATATTGGTTAAAACAGGCTTTTGTCCTTGTCAGAATCTAGACAGTTTGGGGGTAAGAATGGCAAACTCGATACCAAGTTCCCAGATGACTCTCGTGAACTTTAAACTTTTGAGTCTCATGACCTTACTCTTTAGCAAAGTCTGACAGCAGTGTTCCGTCCAGTCTAGGTGAGCTTATGACACAGTAAGGGAGGGTCTCTGAGCCCGTCGGAAAATAGGTGAGGCACACTTGCCCCACCTCAAGGGCCAGCTGTGCTGTGAGACGCTGTGCCATGCTGTGCGGAGGGGGTAAAGTGAAAAGGTCTCGGAGGATCTGCAGGGGAAGAGTGTGTGTGCGTGCATGAGAAGTCGCTTCAGTCGTATCCGACTCTTTGCAACGCTATGGACTGTGGCATGCAGCAAAGCCCCCAGGGAAAAGCACCTCTTAGAGAACCAAGGTGGACCACATGGTCTAGCTCTCCAGCCAACTAAGAGTCCCTTCTTCTAAGACTCGCTTCAGAAGTTTCAGTTTTAATTAGGAAAAAAAAAGGTGACAGCATCTCCACTTTTAAAAGGGAGGCTGTAACTCACACTAGACAGTCGTGCCTGAGGAAGGTCCTAGAGATCTTTTCCCATCCCTCTGGGACCACACTGCTGAGTGGAAGAAGGCCTCAGTGTAGACCCTAAAGCTCTTGGTCTCTATTTATTAGAGCTTCCCCACCTGCGTTTGTGAAATCAGATGACGATCACTCTGATGTATGTATCATTTAATAATTCACATTCAACAGTTTAGAGCACTTAGTAAATAATTACCTACCATCATGAAATAAATCTTCTACCTAAGACGCAGACAGACAAGCTAATTCACGTCAGTTTAAGGCCCCAGAAGGACAGGGCAGGGCTGAGGCGCTCATCCTATGAGTCCACATCCTGCCCCAACACCAGCACGAGAGCCCCAGACAGAAAACAGGAGCCAGGCCCAGAGTCTCTGCCGTTACCCTGGCCCCAGGGCTGCGCTGGGGCCACAGCGAAAGTGCGCTGGTCAAGAATCAGCGAACACAAACGCAGCCAGCCAGTCACAAGTGGAACAGAAGCTTTAATGGAGGTTTCTGGAGTCGGGGGCCCTCAGCCTAAACAAATATTTCTTTTCTTTTTTTGAGCAGAAACGATGCAAGTCAGGAGCGTACTCCTCTTTGTGGGCAACTCTGGGTTTTCCGAATCTTTCATTAAGTTTTCCTGAACCCGATGTTTTTTCTTACAGCCAACATGCCAGACTCTGGCAAATCTGTTCCCCCAGCTTACCATGTTCTAAAATTACAAACCGGAATCTGCGCTCTGTTGAAACCTCACGCTCTGCGCTTTCACACACCCCCCGCTCAGCACGCGTCACAAACAAAGCAGTCGCCCCGGGCTCCTCCGGGCTCCTCCGCGGCCTTACCTGAGCTGGTGGAGGCCGGGGATTTGCTGCGCCGGGAAGGCCCTGGGCTCTTGGTGGTGCTCCTGCGGGACGACGAAGCTATTTTAGTGTAGGAAGTGGACTTCACCACGCGACATTCTGGGGAAAGAAGAAAGGCCGCACGTCAGTAGAGGGGCATGGGGCATACCGTTCCAAATGTACAATAAACTTAGAAATATACAGCCTTCCTCAGTCACACGTGCTTCCTGCCAGCCCAGCACATGTCCATGACACCAGAACCAAGACGATGACCAGAAAGGGCACCTGGGCGTCTCAGACATCGAGCTAAATTCAGCTGTCCCTCTGTACTCACGGAGATTTGGTTCCAGAACCACCCGCCCTGAACCACCACCACCAGTGGTTGCTCTGGCCTGGCCAAGTGGCCCTGCAGGAGATTCCCACTTCTTAAACAAAGACAGACAAGAGTGCATATGAACATACCAGCACAAATTCAAAGGAGACACAAGCAAGAAACAATATCAGAAGACATGACCAGAACCACCATGTGAATAACGTCTGAGAGCGTGTCTCAAGGTTTCAATTCACAAAATGGGACTTCCCTCACAGTTCAGTGGCCCAGGGGACCTTCCCGACTCAGGAATCGAACCTGGTTCTCCACTGCGGGCAGATTCTTTACTGTCTGAGCCACCAGGGAAAGTCATGTAATTCACAAAACAGATCTTTGCACCATGTGACAAGAACATCCACTTGGCTCAAGGGTCTGTCCACATCACGGCCAACACCTCCTGGAGTCTGTACCAGCCTACAGATACTGGCCTGGCCTCTCAGAAGTACATTAGGAACTAGATTGGAGAGATATAATGCTGCCTGTCCACTGGTATGCTTCCAGTGACATTGTTACCAAGTGTTCACTCCATGCCAGGCGGTGAGCTCTTCCAGCCTGGAGGAGAACACACGTGACTCTGGAATCAGAAACGCCGACCCCCTGGTAGTGCACCATAACCTTTTAACCTGCGAGGGCTAGTTTTTCTTCTGTGGGCCTCATATTTGAAAAATGTTGGCTTATGAAACAAACTGCACAAAATAATAATACATTTCTCACTGTAAATCAAAACCAGGACTACAAGGAGGGCAAGATGACCAGGATCTTTTTTTCCTAGGTCGTGAACATTTAGAGGTCACATGAATTTAAAACAATAATTTAAAAAAGCCCGGCGTCTAGTTAGCAGGGATGAATGGTTAAAATAGAAAGCTACCAGATGGTGCACACTGGTAATAACACCCATCTGTGAGCCGCAAAGTGAATTAAAAAGTTGATTTTGGGGTCTGTCGCATGCTGTTTGCCACAGGTGCCAGAAATTGCTAGTTCTGGGCTCCACCTACCAGCTAGGGTTCTGGAGCAGCATAATAGAACCGCTGTTACCACACTAAGTTGACATGTTTCCAGCCACCAGAAAGAAAGTGGGTATTTTTGTCAGGCGGCTCAGTCTTACCAGAGCTAATGTAGGCGTTCTGTTTGATTTTTGGAGTACTGAAAAAACCCTGCGGACTCATGCCATGCTTCTATAGCTTCTATGGCTTCTCTTGAACTCATTTTTCACCATATTATTAATCTATCAAAAGGGTTCATTTATTCATTTGCCTCCCCATCCCCTACTCCCTTGGTGGTGGTTTAGTCGCTAAGTTGTATCTGACTCTTGCGACCCCATGGACTGTAGCCCACCAGGCTCCTCCGTCATGGGATTCTCCAGGCAAGAATACTAGGGTGGGTTGCCATTTCCTTCTCCAGGGGATCTTTCCGACCCAGGGATTGAACCCGGGTCTCTTGCACTGCAGGCAGATTCTTTACTGACTGAGCTACCAGGGGTACCACCTAGTCCTGACATATTTAAAAGCACATAATAGCTGCTCAATAAATACTGGCCCATGTTGTTACTCATCTTGTTACCGCCTGTGTGAACTCTTAACTATTATTCGCTAGAATGATCCAACCTCTCATTTTACAAATAAGGCAAGTGAGACTCTGAGGGTCTAAATGGTCTGCAGTGGAATCCCAGTCTCCCGGATCCTCACAACCCCAGGATCTGGTGCAGTGGTCTGTTCCATTGTAAGTAAAGGTTGGAAAATTAACAGTGACCATGGACAGGGCAGATGGACAAGAGGGTGGTGGTGGATAATGGGAAGGAAGGCAAGCAACCCATTCTCATATCAACATTAAATTAAAATTTAATTACTAAAGCTGGGAGTCTGTCAAGATGCTTACTGCACCAGAAAAAACCAAAAAAGAAATAAGGAACTCTCTTTCAAAAATGGAATTATAGGAAATAATCGTTTGGGTGATCATGGAGTCTGAAAGATAATTACAAATCTCATGCCACTTGCCTTCAGGATAAGAGTGAAGCTTCCTGAGTCATACAGGGAGATTAGCATAATCCTGAAAGGCTAGGGCTGAATAACAGAAAGCAGACACACAACAAGTATAGTAACTGCATCCCCCCCCCACCCCCGCCCCCACCCAGGGTCAAAATAAAACCAACTGAAGACACTTGCAGCACCGCCATAAATTAGAGAAAAAAAAAAAATACAAAGGACTGCAATCATCTTTCCCATTACAGTTTAGATTTTAATTACTTTAAATGGAAGTGGTATTTTATGATGGTGAAAGATGTCATGGAGAAGGACAAATGCTTAATTACTATAGAAAGAATGCCAAAATCTCTGTCAGCTTAAAAGCACAATTTAGAAAGCTTGTGAATAATACCATCTAAATGGCCAGTAAAGTACAAAACCTTATTTGTTCTCACGAAGGCCATTTTCACAGTGTCTGGCACGGAAGCAAATAGCACTCTCCCCTCTCTGCTGGGGTCATTTGCCTTTGGGGTCAATCACTTCATTCTGATATTTTTGGCATCTTCCTATTAAGAGGGATGCATTTCCTTTGGCTGTGGGGACACTTCTTGAGGAGGATGAGATTGAAGGGCTTTAGGTAAGCCACTTGAAAGAAGCTTCAGGACAGTAATTTCTCTTGCCACTGATGGTCACACCTTACCCAAGTACAGAAAATCAGATGAAATACATTAACTGGGTCTCTGTGACTGGACCTCCCATAGCAAGCAAGTAAGCAAGCAAAGTCTGATTAAATCTCTGCTTCAGAAAGTCCCTATAATCATAGCTCTGTGAGGGGGAGAGTACCATTCTCCATATGGTCTGTACTAATGTTAGCTTTACAGATGTTCTCATAATTGGTAAGAGAGGTTAGGACATTTCCCACCTTCACCCGGGACCCCAACTCATGAAACAGGTGCTCTGTGATGGCCAGGATGTGAATGCAGAGGGAGGAAACTGGGGAAGGAACACACCCTTTGGCCCCGTTCCCAGTGGCATGAGAACCATCCCCCTCCCACCCGCAGAGCAGATTCTCCCCCAACTCAGAAATAGTTGGGAAGTGTAGGCTGATGTGTAACGAAGGGTGCTAGAGAACAGGAACAATTCCAGAACTCCATCACTGGCATCAGCAGCTGACCTGAGCTCACATAGCCGAGACGCTCATGCATTCAACAGAGCCTGACAGTATCTTTTGGAGAACCTTGAAGGACAAGGTGATGTCCCCTCAATGCCTAGGCAGCCTTACTGACATGCTGCAAACTGGCTAGAGAATATCCTCTAAACAAGAGATTTCTTTACTCCTCTAAGCTCTTTGTAAAGCGAGCAGATTAAAATCTCTGTCAGGCGGAGACCTCTCAGTGATCACTACTCTAAATTCAGTTGTCCTGAGCTACTCATGAGATGGGCACGTTCATCTGGAAGCATCTGTTACCAGCAGTAGATGCTCTGTGCTTTCTTGCCCATCCTGGTAACAAAGACAGTCTCCCCGCTAACTTGGCAAAGGTACAAAGCTTCCAAATGGAACAGTATAGCTCAGCTGGTAAAGAATCCACCTGCAATGCAGGAGACCCTGCTTCGATTCCTGGGTCGGGAAGATCCCCTGGAGAAGGGAACGGCTACCCACTCCAGTACTCTATACAGTCCATGGGGTCACAAAGAGTCAGACAGGACTGAGTGACTTTCACTTTCTTTTACTTCCTCTCCGTGGCTACATGCCAGAGAGTCAGGGAGCCCATTTAGTTCTAGAGACTTTTAACAAATATGGCACAAGTTCAGTGACCAACAGAGAAAACCTGCAATTCTGGCTGTCTAACTGTCCAACAAAAGTACCTCTTACGTGTTCAGATGCTCTGGGTTGGAATGACCCATCTGAGAATACCACTGTTATAAATGGTTACCCATTCAAAGCTGTCCTCAATTCATGAATATCCTCCCCTCCTGTCTTGGTGAGGGGCTGGCCAGAGTCTTTCTGGTGCACCTCCAGGGCCTGGGGTATTCACCACCTTCTGGCTCAGCCTTCTGGCTGTTGAAGCTCTGACCATCCTGCTTAGCCTCCAGCTTTCAGTGTGGATGAGCTGGAAGACCATTCCTGGTGTGACTGACGGCTCAAGTTTACTTCCTATAGAAACATAATGATTTTCATACTTTAGGGCAGTCTTTTGAAGTGAAATGGCTCAGTCATATCCAACTCTTTGAGACTCCATGAACAGCAGCCTGCACCAGGTTCCTCCAACCATGGGATTTTCCAGGCAAGAATACTGGTTGGCATTTCCTTCTCCAGGGGATCTTCCCAACCCAGGGATCGAACCTGGGTCTCCCGCCTTGTAGGCAGACGGTTTACCGTCTGAGCCACAAATGTGGGCTCCTAGGAACTCCCTGGTGGTCCAGTGGTTATGACTTCGCAGGGTTTACGTTCAGTCCCTGGAAGGGGAACTAAGATCCTGAAAGCCTCGAGGCAAGGCAAAAGAAAACAAGCAAAAGATTCCACAAAAGCAGGCTTCTGCAGGAAGGGCTGATCTGCTGCATTTCCCCGGGGGGGGGGGATGAAGGCTCTGAGAACTGAGGCCCATTCTCTTTTTTCTGCACCATTTAGGTTCAGTCAGTTCTCACACCGCAGTGAGAACTCCCATTCCTACTGTCGGCGGGGTTTGGAACCAGCGTTCCAAAGCTCCAAATGCAGCAGGTCTTGGCATAAAAGCAGTGGAGACAGAAACACCCTAAACCATAGTTTTTCTAAAAAATAAAATCTGTAG